ATTGCATTTAAAGACATAATTTTATGGTAATGCATTGATGAATCAGTCCATGTTTGATGGCTAGCTTACTTCGCTACTACTCTATGGTACACCAACTGTCCACATGTTCAAGCATTCAAGATCTTAGTAAACACCAAATGTTCGAAAGGAAACTCACATGAATTACAAGAACTGGACAATTGACCAATGGTATTTTGTCAATATTCTGCAATACAGAAAATGAAAGAACGAGCATCAATAACACATAACTAACGAGCAATAAATAGTTAAAAGTAACATAAGGAATTAACGAATGTAAACCTTATAAATGTCGAACCAGAATGTTCGCTTCACCGGATACATGACTCGAACACCTGACAAGATCGGGCTGTGAAGAACAATAGCCCTCAAGTTCGGTAAACGAGTAGCCAAATCTAAAGTCGGTCCGCTGCCAACTGATTGCCCATATAAGATAACATCTTCCTCCTTTGCACCATATCTCTCCACTAAGCATCTATAGACAGCTTCAATGTCTGCATAAGTATTCTGCTCACTTGGCTGCAGAAAGGGATGATCCAAAAGGGAAAGATCAGCTGAATTCGACTCAGTAAAACAACGAAGTGGAGACTTCAAATCATAATACTCTTAACATAATTTGCCAGCCATTTTTCATCCTTAAACAGAGCAGACAAAGCTAAGAACAAAGCGGATAGATCCTGAGATTCAAAACATTTCCATCCTCTAATCTAACCAAGATGAAAAAGAATAATGTTCATACCTTTCCAGTAGATTGGCCATATCCCGAATAGTCGTACCTAAAAAGGGCATAATGACAAAAGGCAGCTTTCAAAAACCCAGATTCAAATCAGTTACATACAAAGCATTTAAAGCCAAAGGTTCACAAACCCCATCAAGTTGACTCTAAGATGAACACTAAGCTCGACAAATAAATCGTACATCTGCCCCAAATCAGCAGCGTTCCCATGAGAGTAGAGCAATGTTAAAGTAGCCGATGAATTCTTTACATACAGGGCCACAACCTGGTTCCCTCTCTTGGTACTAAGCTTCAAAACGTCGACGTTTCCCCTCGCCACCACCTCCGTCATCGCCAGCTTCCCGCTGCCTTCCTCCACTTCCTCCACCTTATACGACGGCGGATTCGGCGGAAAGAACGCAAACTTCGCCGCCATGGACGAAGTCACCGCCCCCATCTTCGTTCAAATACTAGTGAACCCAATACAGAACAAAAAAAACCCAGATCATGAAACAAAACAAACACACAACATACCCAGAACCCCACAACGATCCGAGTTCCCGTCAGAACAAAAACGTCAAATCCAGGTACGGAGGAGGAAGGGTAATAATTTGTTCGAGTGGTGGGAATGGGAATTTAAGTGAGAAGGAAAAGAAAATGAAGCTCTGGATTTTAGGGTTGGGAGTGGAATCGGGGGGTGGGAAAATGGAGGCTTTTCCGGCGGGGAGGGGGAAGGGAAGCACGTGTGGGCATTATTGGGAGAGGAGCTGAAGGAGGAGTGCACTGGTGACAGTGATGTGTGAAAAAGAAAAGGTACAGTATCATTGACTGAATGACACGTGTCCTTGTAGGGTACAGGGATGAATAACGGGAGACAAGGATTGGATGGTTGTTTTTACTGCGTCACAGCCTTTTTTATTTTTTTTATAATTTTTTTTAATTGAAAAATACCTTTTTTTTTTTCCTTGGGTAAAAGTTCAAAAATACTTTGGTTCGTACACTCTCGTTGAAGTACGGTTAATTCTTTCCATCTTAGTAATTTAATTTTTTATTTTTTATTTTTTATTTTTAACAATTTACAATTATAGTTTTTTTTTCCATTTTTTAACCAAAAAAAATTAATAATTTGTTCTCCAGATTAATACGTATCTTCTATTAGAAAATCACATAAATGGGTGTAAATGGTAACAATTTAGTTCATTTATGGAGAAAAAAATAATATATATTATTGAGATCTAATATAGTTTATTTACGTACATATCAATAATTTGATTAAAATAAAAACTTGACAATAATATTTTGCATGATAAAATCAAAATTGTTATCGATTTGAAAATGTACGTACTACATTGTTACAATAGATCATAAAATCGTTACAAATTTAAAAGAACCCAATATTAAACTTGTTGATGTGCAATTCCAGGTGGGTGTCCTGATGATGTGTCACTCGAGTTAATCTTCAACCAGCTAATGTGTCAATGCGAGCAAATGTGTAATAGCGTGCCTTTTGGAATTTGGAATGAACGTTTTGTATCTTTTATAAGCGATTATTAAGAGAAACATCAGGTAACAGTCTTGTAAGATCTCGCATTGGTTGGAGAGAAGAGCAAAACATTCCTTATAAGAGTGTGAAAACTCCACTTTAGTAGACGCGTTTTAAAACTTTGAAAGAAAGCTAAAGAGAACAATATCTACTAGTGGTGGACTTGAGTCGTTACAAATGGTATCAAAGTCAAATCGAGCTGTGTACCCGCAAAGACACTAAATTCCACAGGAAAAGTCGAAAGAAAACCGTAATTGAATTATACGGCAGAGTAAAGTGTTATTTATTATTTTTACATTTTTATCTTTTTTGAATTTGGGATTAGTTTGGAATTGGCATTTGTTTGGTAGTGTGATTATGTGGGGAACGGCCGTACTGGTGGTGTTTGGATGCTGGGATAAGGCTGGCAAATGGCTGTCGTTTCATTGATATGCCCCCGCCTTCAATTTTTTATGTCTTATATGAACTCTTTATTTCTTTATTTCTTATACAAAAGTTCAAACTTGTAAATTATAATTCAATTTGATTTTAAAATGTATTTGTAAGGAAAAAGTTCCACACTCTTATAACGAATGATTTATTTTCTTCTCATAAGGAACGGTACATTCCTTATTTCAACAACATGAGATCTTACAATCCACCTCTCAGCATCTTCGTTGACACCCACCAAACATGTGTAACATACTAAGTCTACTGCTAGTAGATATTGTTCGCTTTGGCCTATAACGTATTGTCGTCAATCTCATAATCTTAAAATACATCTACAAATAAAAGATTTATACATTCTTACAACGAATGCTTCGTTTCTTTCGCCCAACGTGGAGCCCACTTGACAGAGTGGACAAAGAAAAAAAAAGTGAAAATGAAAATGAAAATCATCAATGTTTTCAAAGAGTTAGCTTTGATGGGGCCACGTATGTACCAAACCATCTATTATTTCCTAAATATATTGCAAACAAAGGAATGGATAAAGAAAAAGTGGGGCCAAATACTCTCAATTCACATAATAATTGGTCATTAATTTTTGTACAATCACTTTCTTTTTCTATTAAAATAATGGAAAAGACAATAAAATCATAATTAAACATTTTTATTAATTATTAACAAAAAAAAAAAACAATTAAATTGTCTATAAATGTCGTATAGCAGCACGAGAACTCGATTTTTTTACTCGGGTGTCACTGTCTCGATTTGAAAATTGTCATTTTCGAACTTATTATTTTGCATTAAAAAGCTATCGTTATATTAATCGTTGTATCCCGCTGAGGAAACCGGTTTTAATAGACATGGTACTAAGGGCAGAAAACATAGCTCTGCGGAGATGCTCTATAATAGTTGCAACCAATGTGTGGTTGTGACAATAATACTGTTCCTGAGCGTGGTTTACTGCTATGTCTCTGCCATTCAATTCATTTCCTTCTGCCTTTCTCCATTGGAATGTACATCATTTTTCTGTATTGTCCTTTGCTGCAAAACCCTTACATCTTCCACCTATTTTATACATTATTCCAAATCAATTTTCACCGCTAAAGTTATTACCATGTTAATCTTCGTTAAATTAAGTTCGTTTTGACGAATATAAAACATTTGTGTAACAACATAAGCCTACTGCTAGCTAATATTGTTTTATTTGAGATTTTCCTTCAAGGTTCTAAAATACGTGAGATTTCTTTCCACTCTCCAACTGATGTGGGATCTCGCAATCCCTCTCTTAGGACCCAACGTCCTTGGTGGCACACTGCTCCATCTTTTGGGGTCCAATGTTCTCGCTGACACACCATTTGATGTCTGGCTATGATACCATTAGTAATAGTTAAAGTCTACTACTAGCAAATATTGTCATATTTGTTAGGGAGGGGTAGATGTGGAATCTCACCATTTGTGTCTCGTAACAAATACTAATAAATTTTTTTTTATTGAAATACTGGTTTATTAACATTAATTCGAAATTATTGACTTTTACCTGGTTGTAATACAACCGATTTAGACCTACGTTTTCAATCAAAATTATTATAATATGTATAAATATCATATACTTTTTTGGCGCATCAGTTAATACGTAAATGAATAGAACAATATATTTTAACTACATGATCTTATTTCTTCTATATAATTGTAAATAATGTCACATACAATTACTATTTTTTATATATTATTTATTATGTTAATTTTTATTTTTGATTTAATGAAAATTACTTTTAGAACAATTTGAAAGTTTAAGAGTAAATTTCAACTTTTGATCGTGATATAATTTTTTTAATTCAATAATATTTAATAATATCTTTAGGTGAATATTTTGATATTAAGGATAGTATTAGAATAATATAAACTAAAATTTCAAATTGAAATAAAAATAAAAATAAAAATTTCACATCACACTAATTTAACGATAAACTATTCCAGAATAATGTGATTATTAGTTTTAAGATAGAAATTTAAAAATATTTAAAAGTTATATTAATGATTATTAAGAAGAATCCAAATTTAAATTAAACTATGTTTTAATAATATAATTTCTCTGGTGGCATTTTCTTTAATTGGATAAGCACGAAGAAGGCAGATAAAAACAGACAGGTCGATCAAATATAAATCGAGATATTTGACGTGGCGGCTTTTGATTCGGCGAGGATCCAGTCTCACGAACGCATTACCGTACCTGAGTAGGGGATTTGAACCTCCAATTTATATTATATTTCTTATTTATTTTAAATCATTCGCCAGAAATATTCGCGGAGAAAACCGAAGAAAGAGCGGGCGAGTACTTGCTTGAGAAAAATGGAAGGAAGAGAATGGAGAGAATCAGGGTTCTCTTTAACGTCAGGTCCTGCTCTTAATTTGGATGCCGGATTTCTAATCTTCGAGCTCTAAGGAAGGTTTTTGTTCATGGCGGAGCCTGGTAGAAGCCTCATCTCTGCCGACAAAGCTTCTGTTCGGCGCTGTCAGGTTTCATTTGGGATTAAATGTTTTCGTTTTTTGATTTGGGTCAGTGACTGATTCTCTTGTCTAAGGATCTGATAGAATGAAGTTTGGGTTCGTTTTCATTCTGTTATTCTGTTCAATTTGAAATGGAACGATTGTTCTGGTTGATTATTCTGTGCACTTGGTAGAGATTTTGGGAGATAGGTTTTGACATCCGAAGTTGAAAGGTGCTGTTTCGCCTGGAATTTTTGGATCTTTTGGAGTGAAGATATTGAATTCTGTTCTGCATTTAGAGTGCATAGGGGAGTTTTGTTGTGTACTTTGTGAATTAGACCATCGCCATGGATGGGATTGGGGAATCTTCTCAATCTGGGTCTGGAATTGTTGATTCTAAATCTTCGGGAAGTGGGGTTGTTCGTGAAGACAATAGGGTTGCTGAACAAGTGTCGCCCCTGGGAGGTGGGGGGAGGAATACTAGTCCATTGGGTAGGGCAGGATCCAGAAACACTAGTCCTTCGAGGCAGAAGGTTATAAAGACCAAACCTCGTGGTTTAGATGAAGAAACAGTTACAACATTTAGTAAAGCATCCCATCCAGATGTTCAAATGGAAGATGGTATATGGGCGATGCTGCCTGAAGATTTGTTAAACGAGATCTTAGCTAGAGTTCCTCCATTTTTAATCTTTAGGCTTCTTTCTGTTTGTAAGAGGTGGAATTCTATACTTCAAGATACTAGTTTTCTTAAATTTCATGCACAAGTGCCTTCACATGGGCCTTGTCTTCTCACATTTTGGAAGAATTCTCAAACCCCCCAATGCTCAGTCTTCAGCTTGCCATTAAAAACATGGTATAAGATTCCATTCACATTTTTGCCTCCTTGGGCATTCTGGTTGGTTGGTTCATCTGGCGGTCTTGTTTGCTTTTCTGGGCTTGATGGACTAACTTTCAAAACCTTGGTATGCAATCCCCTCACACAAAAGTGGAGGGCCTTGCCAAGTATGCACCATAATCAGCAGAGGCAGCTGATTTTGGTTGTTGATCGGACTGATCGGTCATTTAAAGTCGTAGCGACTAGTGATATTTATGGTGACAAGTCCCTGCCCACTGAAGTTTATGACTCAAAGCTGAACCGTTGGTCACTTCATCAAACTATGCCTGCTGTAAATCTCTGCTCCTCGAAGATGGCATATTGTGATTCCAAGTTATACTTGGAAGCTCTTTCTCCACTTGGTTTAATGATGTATCGGCTGGATACAGGCTATTGGGAACATATTCCTGCTAGGTTCCCTCGTTCTTTATTGGATGGGTATTTGGTTGCTGGTACACAGAAGCGCCTATTTCTTGTTGGAAGGATTGGTCTTTATAGCACTCTTCAAAGCATGAGAATTTGGGAACTAGATCATGCAAAAATTATGTGGGTGGAGATTAGTAGAATGCCACCTAAATACTTTCGTGTTTTGTTGAGGTTATCGGCAGAGAGATTTGAGTGCTTTGGACAGGATAATCTGATCTGCTTTACATCTTGGAACCAAGGAAAGAGTCTTCTTTATGACGTCGATAAGAAAGTATGGTCTTGGATTGCTGGCTGTGCTTTGCAGTCATGTAACAGCCAGGTCTGCTTTTATGAACCAAGATTTGATGCTTCTGTATTCTGAGCTGACTTCTTTTTTTTCCGTGATGATTCTTTATTACATCCATTCTTATCTGAGGCCCAATTTTTCATGACTTCTTCATGTACACATCCTTGTATATGGTTTCCTCACTTTGTGATTACTGACCGATCATCTAAGTTTCTTCTGCTGTTTGCTGGATTAATTCCATTCCATGGTCATAATCCTAGGAGGCCAATTTTGTTTGCAAGGTTTAGCAGTAGTAAGAATAGTTTCAACCAAGACTTTCCTTGCATGGGTTTAATGACGTGCTAGCTTGAGCATGGGATGAACTGCATTCAAGAAAATTTTATGTGGGTGGTATTTGGGAAGAATGGAAGCCAAGCTTGTACTTTCAGATGTGTTGGTTTAGGTTCAGTTCGAGTTATCTCTATGGAAATTAGCTCCATTACTCTTGCAGTTCAATCTGAGATATTATTGTGAGCTTGACTTCAAAGTTCAACTATGACGATCAAGAATGTTAATGCCAATTTCAGGAACTTGCAGTGCTGGGTTTGGTTCTTGGTCACTAGCTGCTCAAGTTAAACGTAGTGCTTCAAGAGGTTCTTAACAATCTGAGCTTTCAGGCGAACTTCTATGGTTGGAGTTGAAAACCGAAATTGTTGTTTTGATCATTGCATATATATGGGCTTCAGAGTTTTTCCCAAATGTAAAATGATTGATTTATACGATCTGTTCAGGATGTTATAAAAAGGACAATTTCTTCAAGTCGAACGGGAACTCTTATATCAAACCAGATATTGTCCCTTGCTATGTTTTTAAATCTAATGTTAATTGGCTTCAAAAGTCTCAAGTTTTGATTCCCCCCCTCATCGTAATTACTAATTACTGTTAGGACTAATATTGTCAACAGATTGAAGCTTGCCTTCTGAGATGAAATCCAGTATTTCACCATTGTGAACTACCCTCTGGTTCAAAAAGTTGAATAATTTCAGATTTCGTTTTCATGAGATCTCATCTTAATACACCCCATCCCTTAGGCACAGGTTCTGATGGGGTTATTTAAGAAGTTGAGCTAAAGAATAGGGTGTCGTTCACTTAATAAGGTGCCAAATGGCCTGCAAGATCAAGCTTATGTTGCCATCAAGGATACTGTTTTTTCACATTGATTCATAGTATGCTGTTACCTCAAAGTTGAAGGGAAAGGAAAGCAAATGTAATTGCAGCACGGAGATAGATCAAGAAGGCAAGGTTCTTCCAGTTTGAGTTATTATCTTGGAACCCGTGGGCCTCTTTGGAATACTCCAAACCGTCTTGGGTGAAAAACTCTTGACTTTGCCGAGGATTTGGGATCGTTCAGCTTATTTTGCATCAATCCCGTTACATCACCAGACTTAAGGAGCCATTGAATTGTGAATCATTCAAGGTAAACACTGGTCCCCATCTGTACCTTTTTCTTTGCTTGCATGAAAAGAAAACAATCCATAGGGCTAGGTAATGGAAAAAAGTCTTCAAATCCTCTATATTTTACTTGTTTCTAACGAGCATTTCAAGTTCTGCACACATCAAGAATGTATTTGATACAGAGATGGGCTTCGAAATCCTAGCTTTAACTTGATTTTGAGTCTATTTATTTGAAGCTCTCATTCCCTTTTTCCAATGTGAAACGCTTATACAGGAGAAGAATTAAGTAACTAGTAAACAGTTCTATGGGTTTTCTTTATTATCTTCGTAGTTGGGAAGTCTCTTGCACTCACTATTCGAGGTATATTTTGCATTTCTTATCCTGCAGTTTTTATGAATCTGTACGTTGCTGTTTCTTAATGTGTTCTTAAATTCTTATATAAGGTATAAAAGCTGGCTTACAGGAACTAAAGAAAATGCTTGATTGTTACAAAGGGTATGCTTCATTTCATTATTAGCTTAAAAAACAAACTCTTTTTCGCTTCTGCTTTTCTACATATTATACTTGGGGTTTTTGATTGTTAGACGAACACGATTCTCCACAATGGTATGATATTGTCCACTTTGAGCATAAGCTCTCATGGCTTTGCGTTGGGCTTCTCCAAAAGGCTTCATACCAATGGAGAGAGTATTCTTTGTTTATAAACCCACGATCATTCCCTAATTAGCCGATGTGGGACTTTCATCATCCAACACTGATTAGGCAACAGGATCACAATTTCAGCAGAAAATTCCCCATGATATTGGTAGAATTGTTTAGGAAGAAGGAGATCATTTGAGTATTTACTAACGAAAAGGGTGGATAGAGATTAGAGAGGAGGTGCCGAATGGTGTTGAAAAGGATTCAAATGACATAGCTGAAGGAAGAGACCTTTAGATTGACTATGAGACCCTCAACGCCAACCTCCTAGACATAACTTCATGAAAGCAAAGCATTGAGTTCATACCCTTTTTTCTACCTGGTGTGGTCTGTTTAGTTCATTCTATCTTTGTACTTTGAAGATTCATATCAATTATTAATCATCTGCTTTCAGGTAGCTACTGGCTAGAGAAGATGAAGAAAAACAAGGGAGGGAAGACTATGCGATTGGCTAAGCTTGAGAAAAAGAAGAGAAACGAACCGTGTATTAATTTCAATGAAAAATATTCATGAACTTTAAAAAGTAATATTAAATAGTTTGAAAAACAATGGGGTCGATAGATTATTTTCATCCTCGTATTGATGATAATTTATTATTATTTTTTTATATAAAGTTAAATAGCATTATTGCTGCTTGATATTTTAAATATCAGAGCTTTTTCAATTTTTAATTAAACTTTTAAAATTTGTTGGACCTCATAGTAAATGCATTATTGGAACATTTCAAAGTATTTTTCAGATGAAATATAAAATTTAAAAGTAATTTTATTAATTTATATTAAGATTTTAGACTTTCATTATCCGTACCAACTGAATTCAATCAAATAAAATCGGTTGTCCAAATCAACCAGCTGAAATATCAAAATTAGTTTTATTGAAAACTTTAGATTAAATTAAATTATCATCGTACTATAATTTTAAATTTTTAAATTTTTAAATTTTGATCTCAATAGTTTAATTAAATAATAAAAAAAAAACTCTGAAGGTTGATAATGCAAAATTGATGTTGGTATGAAGGAAACATTGTTGTTTGTTATTCCTTGGGAATAAAACTTCCAGTAATTAATATATTAAAAGAAATTAGAAAGAAGGATAATAATATTAATAAAAAAAGGTTACAAATTAGAGCCATTTTTTCTTTCATTTGATTTCTCCGGCGCTCCAACGTTCATATCGTCGACGGTTTTCCACGGTCAAAGTCAAAACGGTCTTCAGAGCCGTTACCCGCCATTCTCGGATGCCAGCTGTCACGGACCCTGCGTGCGCGTATTTCACTCGGGCTTATATATATCTCCCCGCACGCACACTCTCTTCTTCAGCACATTCTCACACTACAATCAGAGCGCTCCATCAACGGCCTCTTCCCTTTTGAGTGTTCGCTGCCCAAACCAAACGCTACATTGTTACCCGGCAATCGGAGGAAGAGAGAGCAGAATTGAAAGAAGTTTCTCGCCTCGTTTCGGTGATGAAAAATAGAGGTGAAGTACAGTGATGATGACTCTGCTCTCTCTTCCTCTGATTGCCTTCAAATTTCGTTTCAGCCTTTTAGTTTATGCGTACTTTGATCGCTGTTTTGAGTTTGAAATTTTAAGGGTACAGTAATGATTCTGCTCGCCCTTCCTCCGATTGCCTTAAAATTTCGTTCTCAGCCTTTTTGTTTATGCGTAGGTTGGTCGCTGTTTTGGGTTTGAAATTTTAAGGGTACTGTGACTATTCTGCTCTCTCTTCCTCCGATTGCCTGAAAATTTCGTTTTCAGCCTTTTAGTTTATGCGTAGTTTGGTCGCTGTTTTAGGGTTGAAATTTGAAGGCTACAGTGTTGATTCTGCTCTCTCTTCCTCCGATTGCCTTAAAATTTCGTTCTCAGCCTTTTACGGGTAGTTTGGTCGCCGGTCTGAGTTTGAAATTTTAAGGAGTGATGATTCTGCTATCTCTTCCTCCGACTGCCATAAAATTTCGTTTTCGGCCTTTTAGTTTTACGGGTAATTTGGTCGCCGGTCTGAGTTTGAAATTTCAAGGGTATAGTGATGCTTCTGCTCGTCTTCCTCCGATTGCCTTAAAATTTCATTTCAGCCTTTTAATTTTATGCGTAGTTTGGTCGCTGTTCTGGGTTTGAAATTCATATTAGGAATTCGCTGGAGAACTTCAGAGGTTATTCTTATTTAGGGGTACAAAAATAATTCAAGTGAACAAAATAAAATGATCCAGGGGTCAAAAGAAGCTACAAAGGATATAAGAAGGCGTTCCAATTAATGCAAATATCCTGTAACGAATATCGAACAAATGACTTTGAGAGAGAACACCAAGTTTAGACGAGCTTATTCGATTCGTTGATTTCTTAAAATCTATAATTTTGATCAAATAGCTTTCACTGCATTAATCCATAGTTCAATTAGGAAACACACTGAATATTGAAAACCAAGAACCACTCTTCTAGTCTTCTATCTTAATCTCAAAGATGAAAAAGAGCTCTTTCAGTCTTCTAGCTCGTCCAACAATAAGTATAAAATTTTTTAGCTTGTTTTTGGTAGAACTTGAATTATATATTTACTATTTTATCAATAAATTTTTTAGCTTGTTTTTGGTAGAACTTGAATTATATATTTACTATTTTATCAATGCCAAGGGAGCTTTGAGAGCTCCCACCTCTCCTCATTGCTCAACCAAGCTACAATTCAGCAAAGCGGCCTTAATATTACCCTCTAAAAAACTCCCACAAACAATCATAACTAACATCATGTATACACTTTGGTGATTTGGGGTCTAGTTTTCTGGCACTAATTTTCTTTAGGCTGTTATATGGCATGATTACATTCTCTGATTAAGTTATCAATTGTGACATATATGTAGATTCTTCCCTATACAAACGTTTATTGATTTGAACAACATTCAGTTTTCAGTGTTTTATATTTTCAATGTGTGAATTAACCCTGCAAAGTGAAGGGCGAATTTTGTTATTTTCTAATAAGTTTACGAGTTAATTTTTTTTGACATTTTCTCTACATTACATTTTTCTTAAAGGTAGAAGAAAGAGTTTGATCAGCTGAAGAGGAAAAGGCAGTCTCAGAAAGAATTTGATGCAGAGTCTAAAAAGATGTAAGCTTCTGATGGGAGTGAATTTAAAATGTGGAAATTTCAAGAAAGTATGTTTTCTATGGTTTCTTTAGAAGTTTTTGTCTTGCTAGCTTGCTTCATTGGAAATTATTATATGGGTCGCCAGTCACCTGACAAGGTGCAAAAATGTTGTAAATGGGATTTGACAATTGAATAGCACTATAAAATTATTCGTGTTGGATTATTTTATGCATAAGCAATAAAATAAGTTAATTCTTGATGCAAAATTTTGAAAATTGATATTTGTATCTGCATTCACCAGATCACCCATTTACGTCCTCTTTCCGTGAGGAGACACTGCGTTCAGAGGTAGTAGTGCAGTTTCTTGATGCTAATTTCATCTGTTGGGGAGCACTTGCAAACAGAGGAGATGGTCTGCAGATGGCTACAACATTGGGAGCTACCAATTTCCCCTTCTGTGCTGTAATTGCTCCAGCTCCAGGCGAAAGCCTAACAGTCCTGCAACAGGTTGGTTTGGCTTGAGTTCCAAATTTTCTATTTTAATTAAACTCTTTTGCAGATCCCCCTCTCATATTTCTGAGGATGTCTATAGGGCGTCAGTTGATTGGCTTAATAAACGTTCTCTCGAGGCACTCAACTCTTTCGCATTATGGTCTTCAGATAGCATTCTTGCTGACTTTGCGACTCAACAAGCTAGTGCCAAATGCTCTAAAAAGGGAGACAACATGCTTCCTCAAAATCTCAGATATCAGTGGTTTGTTTAAGTTTATTAACTAGTTTTCAACCTTGTTTGTTTTCTGGAAATTTGTAAAGCAAAAATGAACTGCAGGGACTTCAAGGATGATCTAAAAGAGGCTGAAAAGCCTAGGAAATCTATTTCTTTGACGAAATTAGAGTGTTAAAGCCATCTTCGGCAAGAAATGGAATCCCACATAGATTGATACTACAATACGTAATAATGGTAGTAATAATACTACAATTTTCTTTATGATTCAAGAATTAATATATTACTGCATAACAGGTTGCCCTATTTGTAGTCCTAGCAATGGTATTACGAAGAAAACCTGAGATTGATATTAACAAGGGAAAACTCAAAGTTTCAAGTACAGGACAAGCTTCCAGTACTTGTCTGGATGATAGTTCAGGTGAATTGATATTAATGTGTTTTATAATTCATTGATGTTTAGTTTCTTTTTTTATGCTTCTTATACTGGATTTCCTTATTCCCATGTTAGGCTTGTCAAGCAGATCTTGCAATAGGGCTTTATGCATGGGCACATTACCTTTTGCCCATAGTTAGTTGTAATCCCCAGGCTAGAGTGAAGGTCGGTATAGTCAAGGGAACTGTTGCTGTTATCTAATATGCTGAAAACAGTATGCAAGTTCTTTTTTTTTTTTTTTTTTTTGACATTGTACCATTTGCTGGCTACTGAAAGGTTTGAGGCTATCTATCCAACCTTGAAGGAGGTTGCACTTGCTGGCTCTCCTGGTAGCAAAGCAATGAAACAAGTTTCACAGAAGATATTTAGTTTTGCTGCCAAAGCAGCAGGAGAAAGTATGATACTTTGATTTTCTTTCTTTTTTTTTTTTTGTACCCTTTTGCATATCAACAGTGACTGAGAGAATATCCATTAATAGGTGTTTCAGAGCTATCTGGAGAAGCAACTAACGTTTTCATTTGGTGTTTGACGCAAAATGTTGATTGCTACAAGCAATGGGTGAGTTATTCTAGTTCTCTTCCTATACATTTAATCATTTTCATTCCAATTTTCAACTGATCTGGAATATTTTCAAATTCATCCTTTAAAATATGCAATTGTATTTTGCAGGACAAGATTTATGAGGATAACCTAGAAGCTAGTGTTTCTGTTTTGAAAAAGCTTTCTGATGACGCCGAACTAGGCACCTCTTTCGAGTATGGGAAGCCAAAAATCCCCTGGTAACAAAACTGCACCAACTAGTTAGTCCTTTTAAATCCTTCTTGTAATCCTCTTGAGGATACAAAAGTAGTGGCTTTAGTAAGTTTTTAAGTTAATACTGCTCAACAAGGCTCAATACTCATTTTAGCATCTTTTGATAAGCCTTTGTGACTTGTTATTTAATGGTGTTAACTTTAAAATTTTGTGTGTTAATCATATATGACATATATAGCATGATAACATCCTCTGATTAAGTTACATTACTTTTTTCTTAAAGGTAGAAGGAGTTATTACTTTTTTCTTAAAGGTAGGAGTTTGGTCAGCTGAAGAGGAAAAGGCAGAGTCTAAAAAGATGTAAGCTTCTGATGGGAGTGAATTTAAGAAAGTATGTTTTCTATGGTTTCTTTAGAAGTTTTTGTCTTACTAGCTTGCTTCTTGGACATTATTATATGGGTTGCCAGTCACCCGACTAGGTGAAAAAATGTTGTGAATGAGATTTGGCAATTGAATAACACTAAAAAAATTATTCACGATAAACCATGTTAGATTATTTTATGCATATACAATAAAATAAGTTAATTCTTGATTCAAAATTTTCAAAGTTGATATTTGGTGCTTATTTAACTCCAGAGTTATAGATTGGCCTATCAAATATGGATCATGTAAATATTATTTTAGATTATTCGATTCACAAACAAGCTAGAATTAGGGTCAAACTTTAACAAAAAATAATAAATGTCCACTTATAATGGTTTTAAATCATCCATATCTCATTGGTTTGTCATTATTGCTCATATTTACTTTGCTAATGTAGAAGATTTACTTTAGTAACTGTGTTGTAAAATTTTCAGATGGAAATGGTGGACATAGATGGAGATAATAAGTTGAGGTCATCTACAAGGAATCCAACTTCAATTGCTACTTTAAACACACCACGTAAGAAATTTTCTATTTGACATCATGAACTACCATATGTTCGATCTGTTCTCACAGGAATTACATTTTTGGCAATGTTGAACCAGGTTAGATTCCTATGTTTAACTTTTATTATGTCTTTGTTTTTCTTTTTTGATGTTCTTGGTGCTTCTGATATCATGTTTTTATTTCAAGAGTAAATGATTAAACTACAATAAAGGATTGTAATGAATGTTAAAGTTGAAAGAGGTTCATGAGCAAGGAATTAAATTACATCTTTTGTTTCTTGAGCTTTTTAGGTAGTTATGAATGGATCTTTTTTCATTAAAAAAATGAAAATGAAGCTTTCATGAAGATCAAATAAAAGAATACAAGAGGAACACTAGAAAACCATCCCCAGAGAAACCCAATTGACCTATAGAGTGCTCAAATCAGGCAAAATAAGACCTAAAGAATTGTTTAAAAGGAACGGGTGTCATATCCCCAAGAGGAGCCCAATTGACCCAAAAAGATATTCCAATCAAACAAAATAAGATTTAATGGTAATTACAAAAAATTGTACACAGAGGTGTGATCTAATAAGGCCACCCAAGGTCTTCCAATCATTTTGGGTACAAGGTTGATTTATGTCACAACTTGTTGGGTACTAGGAAGGAAATATGCTCCAAAATATAAGGAAAAATACAAGGATGACTAAGAAAGACTTTAAGTACATGGCCTTAAGGCAGGACAAAATGCCACAAGGGAAAATTAGAAAAATATGTCGGAGAAGGAAAAATCGATGCAAGGACCCTCAAGGAACTTGGAAGGACATAACTAAGACCAAGCACTCCCCAATGCATGGTAAGAAAAGTGAACTTCCAAAAGTTTTTAAGAGGGGGAGAATTTGTAAGAGCCCAAGTAAGATTAAGATACTTGGGTAAGTTTAAGGTGCTCAAAAAAGGTTTGAGGGATCCGAAAAATGGATTAAGAGACCCAAGGAAGGTCAATGGACCAAATGAAGAGATTTTCAATGCCCTAGCAAGGAATTATAAGGATTCAAACCTTTGAAAAAGGTTTAAAAAGAAATACTATTTACTCCAAGGAAAGACCGACTTAAGACCCGAAAGCCCACCAATAAGCCTTGTATAAGAAGGAAAAAGAGAAGTCTCTAAAATACAATCTTGAAGGAACAAGGTTGATTATGTCAAAACTTGTTGGGTACAAGGAAGGAAATATGCTCCAAGATATAAGGAAAAAGACAAAGATGGCTACATAACAAAAGGCCTCAAGGGCAAATTAGAAAAACATGTTTGAGAAGGACAAATCGATGCAAGGACCCTCAAAGAACTTGAAAGGACATAACTAAGACCAAGTACTCCCCTAATGCATGGTAATAAAAGTGAACTTTCGAGGACGAAAGTTTTTAAGAGGGGGGAATTTGTAAGAGCCCAAGCAAGATTAAGATACTCAGGACCGTTTAAGGTGCCCAAGAAAGTTTTAAGGGATCAAAAAAAAAAAAAGATTAAGAGACTGAAGGAAGGTTAATGGGCCAAAAGAAGAGATTTTCAATGCCCTAGCAAGGAATTATAAGGATTCAAGCATTTGAAAAAGTTTTGAAAACGAAATAGTATTTACTCCAAGAAAAGACGGACTTAAGACCCCAAAACCCACCAATAAGCCTTGTACAAGTAGGAACGAGAGAAGTCTCTAAAATACCACCTTGAAGGAACAAGGTTGATTATGTCAAAACTTGTTGGGTACAAGGAAGGAAATATGCTCCAAGATATAAGGAAAAACACAAGAATGACCAAGAAAGACTTAAGTACATGACCTTAAGGGAGGACAAGATGCCACAAGGGAAAATTAGAAAAATATGTCGAAGAAGGAAAAATCGATGCAAGGACCCTCAAGAAACTTTGAAGGACATAATTAAGACCAAGTACTCTCCCAATGCATGGTAATAAAAGTGAACTTTCAAGGACAAAAGTTTTTATGAGGGGGGAATTTGTAAGAGCCCAAGTAAAATTAAGATACTCGGGTTAGTTTAAGGTACCCATTAAAGTTTTAAGGGATCCAAAAAAAGAATTAAGAGACCGAAGGAAGGTTAATGGGCCAAAGAATGAAGGTTAATGGGCCAAAGAATGATTTTTTCGATGATTTTTTCAATGCCCTAGCAAGGAATTATAAGGATTCAAGCCTTTGAAAAAGGTTTTAAAAAGAAATAGTATTTACTCCAAGAAAAGACGGACTTAAGACTCGAAAACCCACCAATAAGCCATGTACAAGAAGGAACAAGAGACGTCTCTAAAATACAACCTTGAAGGAAAAAGGTTGATTATGTCACAACTTGTTGGGTACAAGGAAGGAAATATGCTCCAAAGATATAAGGAAAAACACAAGGATGGCCAAAAAAGACTTAAGTACATGGCCTTAAGGCAGAACAAAACACCACAGGGGCAAATTAGAAAAATATGTCGAAGAAGGAGAAATCGATGCAAGGACCCTCAAGGAACTTGGAAGGACATAACTAAGACCAAGTACTCCCCTAATGCATGGTAAGAAAAGTTAACTTTTGAGGACGAATGTTTTTAACTGGGGGAGAATTTGTAAGAGCCCAAGTAAGATTAAGATACTTGGTATGTTTAAGGTACCCGAGAGGGTTTTAATGGATCTAAAAAAAGGATTAAGAGAGTGTAAATGGGCCAAAGGAAGACAGAATTCCGCTCATTAAATTAAAAGGGCTATCTGCCATTGGCAAGGATATCATGTGTGGCAAAGAGGTACCTCTCCCTTTAGCTCTTAACATAAATTTGTGCATACATTATTCTGGAATTTCTTTGACATGAACACTGTTTGGTGGTCAATAATGAATGTTTGGTGGTCAATAATGAATGTGAATATAGGAAGGGGCATATATGGCTACGCTCATAATACTTCAAGCTACTAACTATTTTCTAGTTTCCAGCAGTAGCTACTTTCTTTATTTATTTTTCATACACCCTTAAAATTTCAAAATTTTAAAAAAATATAGTTAATAGTGGTATATGGGCAATTATGATTAAATACATGCTTTGTGTTTGATACTATTTTAGTTCATATAGTCTCAAATGTCCAAAATTTAGCTTATACATTTTCAATAAATCTTAAAAATAATTATTCTTTGAAATTGTTTGGTAATCAAATCTTGGAAAAGATTATTTGAAATGAACTTAAGTTAGTTTTGTGTTAGAAAGAAAGTAAGAAAGTAAGAAAGAAAAAAAATTTCTTTATGTTTTGAATCAAATTTGTGAGTGTCAGTGTTCAAGAAAAAACAACATTACCTTAAGCTGCTTTAAATTTCTTAAAAACAAAATAATTATATACTCTTTCTTTTACCTCAAAATCATTTCCTAACTTTTTCAAACAATAAATTCAAAAGAAAATAAAAGTAATATAAATTGAATCACCTTCTATTATTATATTATTTTAACTTAACAATAAGCCAAATAAATAATGACTCTTGATTTGATTTGACTGTATTTCTTATTAATTAAATAAACATTAAATAGTGACAAATAATAAAATAATTTAAATTACTCCCTTAACCTTTAAATTTATATTTATTTAGTTTCTTAATTTTTATTAGTGTTCAGTAAGTCTACCAATATTTATTTTCTAATAAAATTTTAATTTACAATTTCCTGAATAATAGATTTTTTTATATATTCAATTTATGAATTTTGTATTAAAAATAAAATTAAACTAGCGCCGACGCCTTCTTCTCTTCACCAACACACCCAAATCATTTCTTCTGATCATCACCCATCTCTTCCTCTGCCGTCCTCCGCCGCTCTTGGCGTCAGATGCCGTCCTCCCCCATGTCTCCAGCCGCCGCCTAATCAGATGGCTGATGAAGTTGGCGACCGTAGTCGGAGTTTGGAGAATCTAAAGAGAACCCATATTATTAATCGAATATATGAATTTTTATATTGGAAGTTGCAAACTGTAATGAAAATGTTGAATTTAAATATTACTGAATAAAGTATTATAAAAAGATTCAAACTCAAAAGAAAAAGTCAGAAGTAGGTTGCATACAATAGGAGGGTGCATACGAAGGAACAGTGATAGAAGAAGACGAGAGTAATGACGGCTGATCTGTGTTGTGATTGTGACATAAATTATTGGACCAATGGGATTTGGGTTCCCACCAAATACGAATTCTCTAATATCCCATTCGCCTCCGCCTCCGCTTTCTTTTTGCAAATTGCATTTTCTAGACTGGGTCCTCTTTGCTCCTATTTAATCTTTGACCCAACTGAAAATTACCATCACAACCGAGGAAATTCATTCCGGGATCGCTGTTCTTCAGCCGACGAGGTCTAAGGAGTTCGTGTCTGTTCTGGGTTTTGCTTAATTTCATCAATTTCGTTTGTTTTCGCTCCTCTTTCGGAGTTCTGTAAGTTCTGGCTAAATGGGATTTGGCTTTATCGTTCTTTCTATACTTTTGCCTGCTTGCTATGATCGGCGATTGATCGACTTCGCCGGAACTGTGCTGTATTGCTATTTGATTCACTAGTCTAGGTTTAGAAGCTTCTTGTATCAATATAACAGTTTTTGTGTAGTTCATTTGGAGTTTATAGGAATACCCATTTGTTCGAATAAATGGATTAGTGAGTAGCAACTTCTTCTGGCAAAAAGAAACAGAGATCATTGTGATTTACATAACCTATGGAATATGAAATGAAATGATTGATCGTATACGGATTATATGAATCACAGAATGCGGCTAAAGATTAGGACAATGTGTGGGATGAAAAGAATGATTCTTGTCCTTCCATGTGTGATATAGCAAACTGTTGTTTATTGTTTGAGAATTTCATCTTCATTCTTGAATATTGGATTTGGACGTTCCATTTTTCATTTGCCTTTTACATAAACATTTTGCAGGCTGCTGATCAGTAAACTTAACCTTCAGTTATCATTGTGCAAGATGTTTTCTCTGACTGAATATAATGAGGCTAAAGAATGAGTCATCAAGCTGGTCTAGTGATCATTGGCATATCTGTTGGTTTGGCACTTGGAATTTTAATTGCTATCCTGGTATTTTATCAGATGGTACCGAAAGAATGCATATCTTCAGCGAAGTACAGATGAACGGAGTTTAGAAAATATTCAGATTCGAACGAATGGCTCGAATGCAAGTACTGAATTTAGTGCATCTCTTTCTGGTTCCATTGCTTTTCGGGGATCTGAAACGCTTCATAACGGTTCCTGGTCGCCTTGGAGGAGTCATCACCACAAAGACATAGTTGCTTCAGCATCCGGTGTTCTGAAGTACCCTTACAAGTATACACTAATGCACTTGTTTATTTTTAAATACTTTACGTGAGACAAGCTGTGAAGTTATCTAATGCACTTGTTTCCCGTACTTTTCAGGGATATTCAGAAGGCTACAGAGAACTTCACTACGCTTTTGGGACAAGGGTCATATGGTCCAGTTTATAAAGCAAAGATGGCCAATGGAGCAGTTCTAGCTGTTAAGGTGCTTGCTTCAGACTCCAAGCAGGGTGAAAAAGAGTTTCAAACGGAGGTGAGGATATTAGCCACGTTTCCATTTCAGATATCAATATACTTGTGTAAAGGAAACTTTTTAAAGATTGTTTCTCATTAAAGGGAGGAGAAATTCAAGATAAAGTTAACTATTTATTACTTTAATTTTGTCCACTAATTATGTCATTAAATTACTCGTGTGTCAATGAACACTTTATACTAATATCCATGGTTCGGTTTGCTGTAGGTAAGTCTACTAGGAAGATTGCATCATCGTAATCTTGTGAATTTGATGGGGTACTGCATTGATAAAGGAAGCCATATGCTAATTTATGAGTTCATGAGTAATGGAAGTTTGGACGATCTTCTTTACAGTAAGTTTGAAGCTCATCAATCATTTGAAGATATCTTTTTATGATTATTGTTTGCAAATTTTCTGAAAGTACAATCTTATGTTTTCGGGTAAATGTGGAAAACATGTTAGCATTTATAGCATGAAACTTGAAGATTTTTACTTTTTGTATATGATTTTCATGGTATACATGCATTCAGATTCAGAAAATCGTGTCTTGAGTTGGGACGAGAGGCTACAGATTGCTCTTGATATCTGTCACGGAGTCGAGTACCTTCATGAAGGGGTATTCTAAGTTTCTCATTTGTTCCTACTTTATTGGAGTAAGTGTTTGTTGGATAATTCATCTAGATTTTCTTGGATCAGGCTGTTCCGCCAGTCATACATCGTGATTTGAAGTCTGCCAATATACTGTTGGATCATACAATGAGAGCTAAGGTATGTTCTTGAGAGTATTTCTTATGGTTTGATATCTCCCTCAAGGAATGCCAACAATTTAAAGAACACTGGAGATCACCATAGATTTTAAGGGCTGGGATTTTATTTGAGAGTGAGAAATTCCATTTTTTTGTATTTACCATTCATCATTTTCATGCACATGTTAATAGGTTGCTGATTTTGGGCTATCAAAGGAAGAAGTTTTTGATGGCCGGAATTCTGGTCTGAAGGGTACATACGGCTACATAGACCCGGCATACATGGCTACGAACAAGTTCACGATGAAGAGCGACATCTATAGTTTCGGCATAATCATTTTTGAACTAATCACAGCCATTCATCCACACCAAAATTTAGTGGATTATATCAATCTCGTGAGTTTTTCCTCCATAGTACACAACTTTTTACCTTGAAGTACAGATTTCATGATTTTCAGACCAACATTTTCAGGCTGGAATGAGCCCTGATGGGATTGATGAGATAATTGATAAGCAACTAGGTGGAGAATACAACCTTGAAGAAGCAAGAAAGCTAGCTGAAATTGGTCATAGATGCTTGCATAATGTTCCGAGAAAACGACCTTTAATTAGCGAAGTTTCGCAGGCGATATTGAAGATAAAGCAGAGGCGACTCGGGAAAGTTAATAACATGTCTTTTGCTAGCATAGATCTTACTAGAGCAGTGAGCAGAATTGAGGAACAACAGGTGGAATTGGGTAGGATTGCTGGCCTAGCGTGAATCATTTCTAATGATTTTAGATGTTTTTCTTTTGGCTTTCCTCAATCTTTGTTATACGTTCTTCCATTTCCCCCTCTTAAAGAAAAAGAAATCATTGTTGTGTTGAACCTGTGGCTTTCATTTTGCCCCCTTTGCTTAATAACTTAGGTGGGTGATACAGATTTTTGTTATACAAAAACCATGTAGTATATTCACTGTCCGATTTTAACCATTTATGTACTATCAATCTAACTATCAATCCAATCCAATTCTACAGCAGGTCAATTTGAACACTATTTGAGCACTATAAATTTAACTATCTATAAATTTAACTATCAATCAGGTCAATTTGAGCACTATAAATTAACTATCTATAAATTTAACTATCAATCAGGTCAATTTGAGCACTATAAATTTAACTATCAATCCAACGCATAACTCAACGAATTGGACACTAATTATCATTCTAGAAGTTTGAAGATTCAATATCCACTCGAAAATTGTTGGGATTCGAAATAATAATAACCGGCAGATAAACTAACTTGCTCAATCCCTCTCTTGAAGTGACATGGCTTAAATCTCAAATCAATAATTTAAGAAGTTACTCATATACCCGCCTATTCAAATCAATAATTAAAGAAACTACTCGTCTACTCTCTACTCTATATGTCTACTCTACTCTACTCTATATGACCGTGTTTACGATCATGATGTCTCTCGAATAATCAAAATTGGGTCACAGCAACACCAAAAATATGGGGTTAAAAATGTAATATTTGATTACCAGGGGGCTGAATGTGTATGAAAATTCATAATTCAAAGAGTCCATAATGTCCACAACGTCGAACTTCCATTTCCATATATTAGTGTTGCCATGTAACAAAGCTCAGCTCCACAGCAACCCCTGGAACCCCTGGTTGGTCGGTATCACTAGCCTTTTCCGGTATTGATTGCAGCATGTACAAAGTCTTCACAGCGGCTTATTCCGCCGGACAAGACGTCAGCCAAAACTCCGATTACATCAAATGCCTCCTGCAGATCGCTGGCCAAGTTCATTTCATCGAGCCATGTTAGTAACTCCTTGGAGAACCCCATCATTTCCCTTACGTTATCAAGTCGCTCTTTCATCACCACCTCCCAACCCTCAAGGTTTCGGGTTTCGCTTTCCTCTTCCGTTGTGGTGGCAGATGTTCCTTCTTTTGCAGAAGATGCAATACTTGCCGATTTTTTGACCTTGAAGAAATGTTGCAGTTGCTGAATCAGGCCAGTGTAGACGAGCATTGGCCTAATAGTAGTTAACAAATCGTTGGCTTCTTCTGCTTCCGTGTTTGGGTTACTACTACTCACCGATGAGCGACTGGTGGATTGGCTATGAGTATGCTGCATGTATGCATGGAATATTCCACGCTGTAGGAATGCACGTCGATGCAGCAACCAGGATTCATAAGACTCAGAAAGAAGTGAGTTCACCATCATAAACTGAACAGTTTCTTCAGTTGCTGCTGAAGGTTGTGGTACTGGAGATAACGGTCGCGAATCTACCGTGGACGAGGATAAATAGGTTGAAACAGATTTAGCCATCGTAGAACGTTGAGATGGGCTCCCTTGATCCAGTAGGTGACGAGCCATTTGAATCATAAAAGGAAGGAACCGGGAATTGCTTTCTCTTCCCCCACCCCTGCTTTCAGCACTAAATGATGCCCCGGTAGCAAATCGAGCCAACATCTACATGACAAAAAACATAAATACAGATAACTCATTAGAAGGTAGAAAAGCTAATCCAGGAAAGGAAAAGTTTCTAAGTGAACTTAAAACAATTCACAAACTGACAACAGGCAATAAACATACCAGAACAATATCATATGTCAAGAGCCGAAGTCGGTTTCCATCAGCACGACCAAGAGCATTTAGGTTGTCCCAATGCTGGTCAACATATCGGATATACTGTGCCAATGGGACAGACGGACCTCTAACGGGGAACAAGGAATTGCAGAGGGATTCGTTGTTCCTGAGTGTTGCTCCTTCCCATTCTTTCTTTGGGATTTTCAAACCAGCGTCTGTTCTTTTGGCCTCTTGATGGCACTGATAATGAATTATATTGAAATAACTCACAGTCGTATAAACGCACTCCCCACGATTACTTCCAGAGGTCCCAACACCAAGGTTAACCCTCTTGCTGAAAGAATAAACCCCCAGCAAGTCAGAAGGCCTCAAACTATAGCCCTCTCTGCACACCATGCAAGCCAACCCATCTTCCTCTTCCTTTACATCTTCCAAACCTTCAAGAGCTGACTGAGAAACAATGATCCGTTCAACACCATCTGAAGCAACTTGTCGCATCCCAAGTTTCTGCATTATCGAAACCACGGAATATATAAAAGCATGAAAAACATACACTGGGAACTGGCCAAAAATAATATCCAAGCACACTTCAGACAATGCAAAGCCAGAAAAATTCATGTTGCATCAACTTCCCACTCCCAAACATGTTACCAATTCATTTTCAATGTTCAAGACATTTTGATGACGAGAAAAGAGTTCTAAATCTTTTTGCATGCTGTGTCATTCCAATGAAAATTCTATTGGAGAAGGAAATTCGTTTTGAAATTGATTTCTAAAAGTATAAAACTCTAAAACAACGTGTAATCAACACAGAAGCAGAAAAAATAGTGAAGCTAAACATAATATACGTAAATGCAAGTATAAGGAAACACATTAAAAAAATACTAGGTCAACAGTTCTTAAATCATGAACTATGAGACAGTACCTCTAGTATATCTTCTCTGTTCTTCAAAGCAAGCCGCCTCATTTCATCCCTTCTGGCATGCCTTAACATCCGCACTTTATCCTCCAAGAATCCATCTCCATTTCCCTCCTTGTTAGAGAGGGTATCTAACAAGTTTTCAGCCCTTGCCCCAATCTCATTCTCACCCGGAACTCTTTCCAGTGCATGAAGCACAGGTAAGATCCTTCCTTCATCAATACACCTCTGCGTAGCCAAATGCCCCATTGACAAACCCCTTAGCATAGACAGTATGAGCGGAATGGATGGACGTTTCAAGGCGAATGCCCATTCCATACTAGATCTGAAGCCAGCCTGCCCTGCAACAGCAAAACTATATTTCAGATGCTCAACTGCAAGGCCAGTGATGCCCTGTTCCAAAATAATATCCTTCAGTCTCTCCCCACAGGAACTTGTCTTCAGTGACTCCGAGACTCTAACGAAATTTTCCACAGTAAATCTCTGCTTGGCAGCTTGCTCAGAGATGCTTTTATCCTGAGGATTGTCTTCATGCTGTTTCTGTAATCGATCAAATTCTTCCCAATCATTCAGGTATGGAGTAAAATGTTGGATGAGTGCATCCATAGCAGCAGGTTCACCATAGGTCAAGTAAGGCAAGATTCTAGCAACCATTTCAGTGTTCCTCTGCTGTTTGTTTGATTTCTTGGAACCAAAAGGATGAGATAATCTCTCCAGGAACATGAGAACAATTTTTTTTGCCTGTTCACCAGTTCCGGTTTGTTCGCTGGAGACGGTAAGAGAACTCTGTCCAATGCTAATACTTTCACTTTCATTTGCTTCAATTGTTAGACTCTCCACAATCAAAAGAATGCCTTCAGCTGACTCCATGGCGTCCACAGCAAAGGCACGCCTTGCTGTTTCTAGAAGTAATCCAAGAGCTCCAAGCCTCAATAAAGCACGCCTGTTCTCTCTTATTTTGCAACAAAGCATAAGAAGATTAAGAACTGCCACCAATTGCTCTTGGTTTGACTTGAAATTATCCCATATACGCTGGTTCAAATAAAGACGTTACAGTAAGACCAGGGAAAAAGGTTTAATCGGACTTTAAATTGAAAAAGAACCGACAGCTCAACTCCAATTATCCCACATCAGAATAGCATAGAAAGACCATACAACTGAATATAGTAGACACACAATCGAACAAAGTAAGGAGCTGGACCTTGAATATACCACTAGAGTTCAGCGTCCAAATAAAAAATGGGATTTAGTAAATAGAGTTTGAAACTGAATTCTACATGAAACAAATAATTTTTCTTGCACAATTAATATGCTAATTAGCAGCATATTTTAATTACCCGTAAACATTGAAATATAAAATTCTTCCCCAACTAATATTGAAAACCATTCATTGGGTCAGTGCAAATTTCCAAGCTCACATGAAGAGGGGACGTTAGAGCTTCATAAAATATTAATTTCAATATAACCAAACTCAACAACTTCAGTCGATGGGTTAAAATTAATTTAATTATTAATTTATATTCTCAAACACTTTCCTCCACTTATGGACTTGAAAATTAATATAAAGCTGAACAAGTGGTTATTAAGGATGACTGATGATATTATAAGAATTTAAACACAAAACTACTTGCTCTAAGACTATGTTAAATCACCACTTAGCCTAAAAGCTTCAACTCATGAGTTGCAGTAAAATTTAATTATAAAAATCATATTTTTAACATTTTTCAAAAACCTTCTTCACAAAAAAGCAAAAACAAAAAGCTTTTTTTTTTTTTTTTTTTTTTTTTTTTTTTTTTTTT